CTGCTCGTGTCTCGCGTTCGCCTGTGTAATACACTTCCGACGGATACCAAAGAAATTCGCTAGTTTTTCTCGAACACACCTTTATTGTCAATTTCCACGATATCGTTTGAAATCGTCCCGAATCGAACCGATTTCAAAACTATTTGGCTATTTTATTTCCTCCCTCCTCCTTACGCTCCAGCATAAAAAACTAAATTTATCTAGAAACCTAACCGCATTATCGTCTATCTCGAGTAACGCGTTTACAACGAAATACATAGAAACGAAGGTATAATGAATAATAACGATAAGAGATCTCGATCGTTGTCGAGCACGTCGAAGCATCGTCCGAGGGCGATGAGTCGACTGCTCGCGTCCGTGATCGGACGCGCGATCGAGCGTCTGTTGGACGGAACGATTTCTTCTCGAACGCACACGAGACGCGAGAGAGTACGGTATGTACATATACCGATCTGCGAAACCCATTTCCCGCTACACAATCTCTCTCTCTCTCTCTCTCTCTCTCTCTCTCTCTCGTGCGCGCGCTCTCTCGCATAAGTGCGTACAAACACACAGAGGCCCGCTTCTTACTCCTCCGTTTTCCTTTGCCACCATTTTCTTGAGTTCGTGGCGCACCAAGGTAGGCGAAGACGAACGATCCACGAGGTCGTTTGCGTTTCCCGCGCAGAATCTCCACGACAAAGACGGCTCGCGCGAACAAAGGTAGGAATGCGAGAGCCAACGCGGTACATACACCGTCAATTGCCCTCGCGTCTATTTTCTCATTCCCAAGCCACGACGACGACCGACGAGCTGTAGAGCGGGTCCAGAGCGAGGGCAGAGATGGAGGTCTGTCTGTCTGTCTGTCTACTTGGTGGTACCCGACGAATTCTGGAAAGCCGGGTTCAGCTGACCGGTCTTACCGGCGGTCGCGCTCGCCGGCAACGGATTGCTCAGATGTAGTTTCTCTTGGCGTTTAGCTGCGCGCGCCAAACAGAAGAGGGCTCCTATCAGAATGACCGCGCCGATCGCTGCCAGCGCACCGGAAACCGCCGCTCGGGCCACCGGAGGAACGTCCACTGCCATCTTCATCAGATTTCGCATCTCCGCCGGAAGCTCCTCGATGCCCTGCGAAAAAGAAAGGATGCGATTAGGTCTAGCGATCGATCGTGACGCGACCGCGCGCATTCCGTCGAAACGAATCAGGCGTGCAGACGACACTCACGTCTTCGAACCACATGATCGGGAAAACGATGTCCGGAAAGGACGCGACCTGTTTGATGTCTCGCACCTGGCTCACCGCTAGATTGATCTGAATTCTCGCTTTGGCTCGCAACGCCGTGCCCATCATCGGTTGCACGTCGATGTAGAATTGGTGCTTCTCCTCGATCGGCGGCGATATCCCGCTCACCGCTTCCCGGAGCGTTTGATCCGCTGTAAAGTCCAGTATCATACATATCTACATAGGTACGGACGTACTCCTGTTCTCTTACCGAGGTAAAAATGCGGAAAACTGAGGAGAACCGGCGAGTCGTATTGGCAGAGAGAGGCGTTGAAAGTGCCCTCGGGAGCGCAGGGCGGGCCAGCCGGGCAGAAACATCGTTGGGACTCGAACCTGCTCGGGGTGGCGAACGCTTCGCTGGCTGGAACGAATCTGTAACCGGGGACGTCCCCGACGGTGTTCACCTCCTCCTGAAAGAACGCGCAGCCACCGTTCGAAAAACACCTTTTTTTTTTCGACCTTCCCGCGAAAGCACCCACCTTGAAGACCAACGGCAACGCCCTGCACAAATCCTTGTCGAACACCTTCAGGACCGTTTGCTTGGTGATGCGCGGGGGAAAGATGCTGCCGTCGCTGCCCGCCACGCCGTCGCACTCCGGCGTGGTCCAGTGGCCGAGGCTGCTCTTTCCGTTCCACTTGTCCAGCATCCCGTATTTACCGACGTCCCCTTGCCCGGTGAAGATAGTGAACCAATCGGGCATCGTCGCGTTCTTCCCGTACAGCAGACCGAACTGATCGTACGGCAGCTTCTGCTCCTTCGGTACCACGTCCTTGGCCAGCTTGAGCAGCGGATCCTCGTAACCCCACAACAGCTGCCCGATCGACACCTCCACGAACGGTTTTATCCGCAGAATGTCCATGATCGAGGCCATCGCCAGCCTGAGGAATCGCGCCGCGTGCTTCGACTGGCTGGTAGCCGAAAGCATCGGCACGTTCGGCACCACCACCAAGTCCTCCTCCGATCCGACCGACCATTCCTGAAAATCGTTTCATGCGACGGTGCAAACATAGTTTTTTCTCGTCGTCAGACAATACTGGGAAAAATGGTAGAGCGCGCGCGCGCTCGCGAGAATTGTGCCACGTCGTCTGAACGCCGGCTCTTTCTTTCTGCGTACCGCCGCGGTGCTACGCACACCGTCGTCCATTCTATGTACCAAGTATGTAGGTACACCTTTGCCTCTAATTCACGGAAGCGCGTTGCTCCGCTATTACGATCTTACTCAACTCAACTCAACTCGCGTATCGTTACCAACCGGCACACCGACCGCCGCGTTGCGTCACGCAGCCTCTTACGAGAACGAGAGAAACCCAAGTTTGTTAGTGGGGCCAACTGGAAGACGAAGACGAAGACGAAGGCGAAGGCGAAGACGAAGGCGAAGGCGAAGACGAAGGCGAAGACGAAGGCGAAGACGGAGAAGAAACTTACCGGCACAAAGGTGAATCGCTTCTTCACTTTGTACGACACCGTGTCGTTCTCGTTGAATTTCACCTCGACCTTTTCCCACTGCTGCTCGTACACGTACGGCCCGAGCTCGTCCAGCGCCGGTTTCTCCCCATCGTTCAAAAACTCATCGGCGTTCGTCACGTTGTAGATGTAGACGCTCAACCGAGGCTTCACCGGCGGCTCCCTCCACCAGTTGAACGTCCGGCCACCTTCTCGCAGAGCGATCTCTCGATTCAGCACGACGTCGATCAGTTTGGGGAAGACAGCCGCCAGGATGGCAGCAACGATGACCATCAACGCCCCAACAGCGACCGCCGCCCCTGAAATCGAACCAGAGCCACGCATTCGTTACCACGTTACCGCGCCCCGCCGCGATTTTCCCACCTTTTCCGGTAAACGGGAAAAGGATCATATCTCGGAGGAAAAGGACGCGACTCCACCTACCGCGGTGAACTTTTCATCGCTATGAATCGAGAAGTCGAATCGATCTTCGCTCCAGTCCAAAACAGTCGAAAGTCCAACCAAATTCGAGGAATTTGTCCGTTAACTTTTTAGTCACGTCCCACCTCGCGAAATACGCGCGTACGCACGTCGCGACCTTCGAAACGAGCGGTCCTACTTTTCCAACTGCCCCCCTCCTCCTACACACGTATGGAACCGTATTCTCTTAACCTAGCGTTTCCAACTGTGAGACAAGAGACGAGACGAGACGAGACGAGACGAGACGAGAGGAGGCAGGCCGCATCGGAAATGCGAAGCACGACTTGCGGACGTCACGCGCTCGACCTTACAAAATCCTCCGGGGCTGGTATAGTATCGCGACCTCGAGACGAACTTTCCAGCGACGCGCGACACAACTGTTTCTCGCTTACGGCTACGTTTTTGGATCGCGCGGCCGAATTAACCAGCAGCATGTGGTTCACGCGAGAAATGCGAACAACCTCGAGTGTACGCGTTCTGCACAGTCAGCCAATGTGGAAATTCAAAGGGAGGCCGCATAACGGTCGATTCATTTTTCGAACAAACGATCGCTGCTGCGAGTAGAAAAAAACTCGTCGCCCATGAATTAGTTGTCCCCGTCGAGTTAGTTGTTGTCCGCAACATCCAAGTCGTTTCCGCGTTTCCCGAGCGGGCAAGTTCGCATCGCGACACGCGTAATAAACTGTCAGCCAGCCAGCCAGCCGTACTCTTCGACCTGGATACCGGTTAGCAAATTTTTCACTGCACGATTAGGGCAATCGGACAGCAGCGAGTGGCCAAAACGGAGAAGCGCGTTCCATGCTCGCGCGTCACCAAAGTCCTTGCGCAATCATCGATTCGGCGGCGCGGCGGCAGTGACCAGCGGTGGTTGGAGTTAGAGTTAGAGTTAAACTTTGAGGAGGAAAAATCACGTTCCAGCCGAATGGTTTAGGAAAGAGAGAAAGGCGCGAGTTTCCCGCGCTGTCGGTCTATCCGCGGTAAAAACGTTCGAACCGTTATTCAACACACTCCATCCCTTAAGCCTTAGAGCTGTCCCTCCCCAATTCCTACAGTTATTATCGTCGTAACTCTCTCGAGCGCACTAAAGAAATTGAGCTTGGGTGAAAGTGCAACGACGCCAAGTACCTGCCTGCGTACCGGAGTACGCAAAGAGGTGTATGCGCGAGTGGCACTGTTTTACGCAACTGGCAAAATCGAGGCGATCGAGCGAGCAACTCCCTTCGACCTCGTTCTCCTTTCGACAGCCCGCCACCACGCGACCGATCGATTCTCCGACCCTCGCTTGCCAACGTACTTTGACGAAAACAACGAAAAAGGAATGCAACTTTACCTCCCGTTGTTTACGCGACTGCCGAGTACTCGCTCGCCTCCGCGCGTTCCGTCGCGGGCTCATCGATCGACACGCTACGAATACCGATCGATTCTAAGAAGCAACCGCGCGCCAGCTCCTCGACGAGCTCCTCGACGAGCTCCTCGGCGAGTTTCAATTCGGGACCCCTATACACGCGATTTACGTACTTATATAAGCCTACACTTCCTGCTTCCTTCTTACTCCAAGGAAGATTTCACAAACGATTCCAACGCCGTCCGCCACCGTCATCCTCCATTACCTTCCTTACCCCGACGCTTCTTCTCCACCGGAGAATTCCTCGCGACGTCGCGTGTGGGAAAGTTGCATAACGGGTGGTCGATCGACGATGATCCCGGAATTGAATCGCAGGTAAATTTACTCCACCCTCTCTCTCCCCGCCGCCAATCCCTCCATCGTAGCCGTCGCGATCGCCGCTGTCCCCCATTGCTGTCCCCGAAGCCCCACCCAGCACGCTAAATCGTTCCTCGTAATGGTAGCAAAGTTCGTTTTCCGACCACAACTATAATATAATATCCCCAGGCTACGCGATTACGAACGCGCGCATACCATTCCAGCTGCTGCTCTCCTACAAACGCGCAATCATACTTTTTTCTTCGCGATTCCAATCAGTTTTTTCCTCGGATAATTAGCGTTTGCAACTTTATTCTTCCCGTGGCATCCCACACACCTCTAGCCCCCCAACCACTCCGCCGATCCTTTTCTTCGCGGAAATTTCCAACAGTTCTCCGCTGCCTGCCGCGGAGTTGTCTGACGCGATTCGCGACCTCCTCCTCGTCCTCCTCCTCTCCGCTCCTTCGAACCTTCTTTTACAAGGGATTGAATCGCGCGCTCCGGCAAGAGAAAACCGTTGCGTTTCGCGCTCCAAGCCCACGGACCCGACACGGAGTGAAAGTAAAGGACCCGACACTGACTCGATCGCGCTCGCTCGTTCGCGACGCGGAGAAAATTGTTCGTTGAATCGTTCGTTAGAAGCGAGGCGGCATCCAGAAGAAACACGGTGAATCATCGCGAGCTGAGACGTTTCTCGGATCGAATTAAGAGCGCACCGAGCGTGATGCTCGTGGCGCCGGTTAACTATCTCGTTAACGTACCTCCCCCCGACGTCTTGTACGAAACAGCGTTGCCAGCCAACGCGGGCCAGCTCTCCAGTCGATTGCTACTTACACCATCGCCTCAGGAATCCTCCTTGGAGCTTCGCACAAATCCCACGATGTACCCTCATCTTGATCGGTCTGTCACCGTGGATTTACAAGTCGATCCGCTCCTTTCCCTATCCTCTTCCTTCCTCCTCCCAAACGCCTTCCTCTTCCTTTTAAACGCTCGCACGCGCTCGCTCCTCCTCCTTCACCTCCTTCACCTCCTTCTCCTTCTCCTTCTCCACTACCACCGCTATTTTCTTCTCCCCTGGCTTTTCGTCCTCTGCTTCGTGTCGTGTCACCTCCTCGAGCGATGTCTCCTCACCGAGAAGTCGACGCACCGACTCTCTCTCTCTCTTTCTCTCTTTTACACGCGCGCACACACGCGTCTAACCTTCTCGCTTCTCGACGATCGCCCAAACGCGTTTCTTCTCACGTTCCTACTCCTTCCAACTTTCTCGTCCTCGTTCTCGTTCTTCCTCTCGTTCCGGGCCAGCCGATCCTCCTTTTAACTTTACTCCTGCTCCTGCTCCTTCTCTTCGTTACCCACGTCGTCTTTGTCCTCGTCCTCGTCCTCGCCGCCGCCGTCCTCCTCGTCGTCGTCGTTCTTATCGTCCGACACTTCGATCGCGTTTCTTTCCGTGGAAGAAGAACGAGACGAAAGGCGGCGGTGGTACGAGGAACGACGAGAAGGAGAAAGTCTATTCTCCTTTCCCAAGCGACAAGTGTGCCAGCGATGATGCGTCGTCAACGAACCAACGATACCGCCGTAGATCGTTGTTTCGTTGCCCGATCTACGCTAAACAAGCAGCAGGTTAACGCGGCCAAAAAAACGATTCACCTCCCTTCCAACAAGAGCAAACCTTCTGCTGCTACCTGCAACCACTGCGCGCCACTTACCAACCACCCACTCTTCTTCTCTTCTTCTTCGTCCGCCGTTCTCACGTCTCCTTGAAACTGCTACTGCTGCTGCTGCTGCTGCTGCTGCTGCTGCTGCTGCTGCTGCTGCTGCTGCTGCTGCTGCTGCTGCTGCTGCTGCTGCTGCTGCTGCTGCTGCTGTTGCGGCCTGAAATCGATCGAATCGAATCGAATCGAATCGACCCCGATGACGGAACGGTGAACAGCGACCACGGCATCCGCGCTGGAACCAAGCGGCGGAAATAACGGCCCTCGGCGAAACGTACGTTACGAGCTCAGCCGATACACTGCTCGGCGAACAACCGAACCAACCTTACTAAGTACATACTCTCTTCCCGTTTGCTTGCATCGTGAACGGCGCCACGGCGAGCATGCCGTTCAGGTGAACGATTTATCGTTGCCCCACTCTCCTTATTTTCCACTTCTCTACCGCGCTCCGCCGTTTCTTCTTTCCTCTCTCCGTCCAACCATTCTACTCCCGTCTAACCACCTTCCCCACCTCTCTCACCCTCCCTTCCCACTGCGCCTCCTCTCCTTCCCACCCTTCACGTATTCCTTTTCTTTCTCGTTCTTCCCGCTTCTACTTACCTTCACCTACCACCTCCACCCTCTATTATGCTTTTCCCAATTCCGTTTCGCCACACCATCCTGATTTTTCATCCCTTCGACCATCTATCCAAGTCGTACCGTTCCGTTCTGTTTCGATGTCGATTACCATTCGATATCGATCGTAGAGATGCTCGAGATGGGCGTATAACGTTGCGGAAAGAGGAGAAGGAGAATTTCGTGCGAAAAGGTCAACGTGAGCAACGTAGAAAAACACGAGCAGCTGTTTCGCCGTGAACGATTAACGGAGCGGGACTGGGGGGGAGGAGGCGGAATGGATGACGCGATGGAGAGGAGGAGCAACGGCGAAGCATTCGTTGGTGCGAACCAGTGCATAATTGCCGCACGGCTACTGTAATTGTATAACGAACGTTTTGCCCTTGCTCGAGGCGGAATTACAAATAACGAAAACCTTGACCCCTTGATTCCACCAGCTAATCACTGTAATTTCCTAGAAATCGAAAGACATTTCCGGACATATCGGACAACTTGGAACCCGATCACCGTCGTATACCATTATTCCTAGATTCGTGTTTGTTCAAATATTACGCAACCGCCTTTTTACTTCCGTCGCCGCGTGCGTGCGTACACGCAACCAACCAACCAATATCGCGTATCGTATCGAATCGTGGTTAGGTTAGGTACTATGCCGCTCTGTCGACGTTACTCCGCGACGAAACGCGAATAGCAACGTTTCCGATTTCTAGGAGGAAATCAGTGTACCGGCGCAAGATTTCGGAGCATCGCGCAAATACGCGCTCTACGATAGACTGCACATTTCAACGTAAGGATTAACCAGTTCGTTTTATTTACTTTTTCTTTTCACAACGTGAAATCCAATGTGGAAATCATCTATACGCAGACTATACTATGTACCTCGTGAGAGCAACGACTTATCTGTCGATTTCCCCGAATACCACATCCAAGGTACCGATAATAGCCACGATATCGGCGAGAAAGCAATTCATACCTATGTGCCGCAACGTGGCTAAATGGGCAAACCCGGGCGCTTTGATTTTGCACCTGTAAGGTTTGCTGCTACCGTCGCTAACCAGGTAAACGCCAAATTCACCCTTCGGCGCCTCGATCGCGGTGTATGTCGCACCAGGTGGCACCTGGAACCCCTGAGTGTACAATTTGAAATGATGTATCAACGCCTCCATGCTCGTTTTCATTTCCTCTCGTCTCGGCGGTACGATCTTCGCGTCGTCGATCCTCACTTCACCCGTCGGCATTTGATTCAAACATTGATAAATGATTCGTAACGACTGACGCATCTCCTCCATACGACAAAGATACCTAAAACGCACAACAGAACCGATTATATTACACAACCTTGTCAACAAAAACCACGACGACGACGACGACGACGACGACTTTACCTGTCCAAACAGTCTCCGTTTTCCCCGATTGGAACGTCAAACTCGACTAGGTCGTATGCGTCGTAAGGCGCTTGTTTCCTCAAATCCCATTTGATTCCTGAACCCCTGAGCATCACACCGCTACAGCCCCAATCTATCGCTTGCTGCGCCGTCACTGTCCCAATGTTTTGCGTACGTTGCACCCACACTCTGTTCGATGTCAACATCTCTTCCGTATCGTCCAGTCGCTCAGAAAATTTCGAAGCCCATTCGTATATGTCGTCCATCAAACCCAATGGCATGTCCAGTGAAACACCGCCAGGACGAATGTAGGCAGCATGCATACGGGCACCGCTCACGCGTTCGTAAAATTCCATCAATTTTTCTCGTTCTTCGAACAACCAGAAAAACGGCGTCATAGCCCCTATGTCGAGCGCGTGTGTTCCAATTCCCATTATATGATTTAAGATTCTTGTGATCTCGGCGAACAGAGCTGGCCAACACATGAAACGAGAAAAACACATAAACCAAAGAAGAAGAAGAAGAAGAAGAAGAAGAAGAAGAAGAAGAAGAAGAAGAAGAAGATGAAAGAGAATGCTTACTTCTGATGTATTTCGCTCGCAACGGCACTTCTATGTTTAGCAACTTCTCGATAGCCATGGAGAAGCACTGTTCGTTGCACATCATCGAGACGTAATCCAAACGGTCGAAGTAAGGTAAAGCTTGCATGTACGTTTTATACTCGATCAGTTTCTCCGTGCCTCGATGCAATAGACCTATATGGGGATCTGAGCGTTTCACTAGTTCGCCATCCATCGCAAGAATCAATCGCAATACTCCGTGCGCAGCTGGATGCTGAGGTCCAAAATTGAGCTCCATGTTTCGAACAACCTCCTCCTTCTCAAATATAGGACCGCTCTCTGACATCACCCATTTTGACCTTAAGGGAGGCCATTGCAATCTCACTATCTTATCATTATAATCTTCCTTCATCGTGTCTACAATATGTTGCATCTCGGGATAATCTGGATACCATCTATGCGCGGTTCGACGTTGACTGCTACAATAGTTCCAAATCTTACATCTATCTATATGCATAGTACGTACTTCTTTATAGGTTAGGGGACAATTACATAATGACAAATATACATCACTTTACCGACAACTACCTGAAATCTCGTTGCGTTAACCTCACCTTCCGATATCTAGCAAATCTCCTAGCCTGCTGCCACCAACCATTATTCCCTTCTCCTTCCATAAGCCCAACAATCCCCTGCTTGAGTGCAGAACAGGCACCAACGACGTTCTCGCGGCCATTCTTCCAACCGTGCTACTACACTCGACAACCGCTCAAACCACACTAATCCTTTTCCTCCACTCCCTTCCGCACTTCGTACCTTCCCCTTTCCCTTCCTTTCCTTTCCGCTTTACGTATTTATTATTAACTATTATCAACTATACCAACTACCATTCATGCTATTCTTTATCTATGTACTTCCATCATTTTACGTCACTTCAAATCGACTCGTCTTTCATTCGATTCGATTCGATTCGTTTCGACTCGACTCAACTCGACCTCGCCCGACTAACTAACAATCGATATCTCGATATCCCTCGTACGAGCATCGCCGCGCCCTCTCTCGAGTGTCTTTGCTGCGTTACTCTCTTCGCATGCACGTCCCGTGTATTGTGTAACATGCGTCGCGTCGGCATTCTCGTTTGCGCGATAATCCGTTATATACATATACATATATATATATATAGCGTATATCTATCTATCTATCTATCTATCTATATATATACATATACATACACACGCTTCTACATTCTTCTTACGAATCGTACATATAGCGGAACATGCCCAAGTACGTACATTTATTCTTCTGTGTATATTTAATTTTTCGACATATTCAAAATCAGACATGTCCAGAGATTCAGAAGAGCGAGAGGGTGAAGGTGGAGAAACCTTGATGCTGTACATACAAGTAACGAAATAGCAGACTCGATAAAAAGATTATGTTATACATACATATATACGTAGATATCGGAAAATTGGCATAAGTCATTCGCTCGCAGTGTTTGCAATTTCCTCACTGACGCAACAACCAGATTGCCAATATGCTTCGACGCGGGTCACCGTATCGAGGCTGCTATTTCGAGCCAGTGGAAGAAGGTAGGGTAGAACGAAATAGTTGAGAATGAATGGACGTCACACCATCATCGGCCAACATTCCGCGCGTTGCAGTTTCCTGGCCAACAGTGGCCCCCACGTACGTGACACGCGCCCACCCCTTACAATTACACGTCTTTCCTGCACCTATATTTTCTTCTTGGTCCAACTTGACCAGGTACCGTGCCTTTCCTCCATCGCGGGGCGTTGCAGAGAAACGAACGAGAAGGAACGAGAATAAAAAATAGACAGACGGAAGGAATGGTATTTTCAGGTTTATCATCAGTTGGTACACATATAAAAACGGGCTGGTCTTACCATTCCATAAGTAAATATGCAGGTACATGTTACATGTATGTATACATTTATCGACGGTGTAGAGTAGGATCCTTGGTTTATTTTCATTCACCTTTTAGTACGTATGCAACACACACAACGAGTGCATAGAAAATATCTACGTATATACAATAATATACATATGAATACGCGTACGAATGGCCACGTGTCATTCGCGTAAACGCGATTCATTTATTTCTGCGGATGCGTAATTTCTGTCTCCGCGTGTGCATAACAGGTTGTGCCGTATGTACGGCGTACTTACGTAAGTATGTACCATGCACGCATGCAGTAGACAAAGGTACAAAAGTGTGCAGGACGAGGGGAGGGAAAATATGTACGTACATTGTCGGAAGAAAGTAAAGTAAGATCGAAGGAGAGAATTAACCTAACCTAACGCAGTCCAACTTGGATCGGAGCGGGTGAAAAGAAGGTGGAGAAAGAGATGCGGTGGCATAACCAGATGGGGAAGAGTCTCATTGTCAGTGGAAATCGTAGAGGAGATAGCGATGCAGCGACTGCGGTAATTGGAGTTTAGAAACGATCTTGGGTAACTTTGTGCCGCAGTGCTTGCGAACTATCAATCTGGCTTGATGAGTCAAAGGCAACGGAGTTCTTGCCGCTTCCATTACCAACGCTTTCTGCGCATCCGTCAAACTACTCGATCTTCGTATCATGCAAGGATCGAAACTTTCCGCCGCTTCGAGCAACGCCTTCAACAGTCGCGGCTTATCCGCCGTGTTCTGAAGAGAGTTGAGTATGCCGTGAGGGTCGCGGAACTGCGTCTTGATTACAACTCGTGCCCCGTACTTGAGCAAAAGGGACACCACTTCGATCGACGGGTTCTCGTTCGAAGCGACGTATTCCGCGAGAACTGGACGCAACGCGGGCCCTTCGTCGCTACGTATCACCAAGTTCGGATCCGCTCCTCGTTCCAACAGCATCGACAGAATCTCCAGCCTGTTTGGAATGTTGTCCGCGCAAGCGACGTGAAGCGGCGAGCCGATGATCGGCGATGTGGCGTTCACGTCCGCGCCTAAATTCGACAATTCCATCTGTAATAAATATTACTAAACGCGCCACCACCCAACCACCTGTTACTCCGGCCATTACCTGTTGGCGTGCGTGCGTGCAAATGAAACTCACCCGATTCCAAGAGCATTTGTACGATCGAGGGGTCCCCTTTCAAGATAGCCAGGTCGAGAGCCGTGGGTTTTTGATACTCGGGCCCGAGATCGAGTCGGGCACCTTGCTTCAGAAGCAGGTCGATCACCGTCGGATCCCCGCCGAGGATCGCGTAATGCAGAACCGTCCGGTAGTCGTGTCGCGCATCAGCCATCGAATTCACGTCCGCACCGTAGCTCAGCAAAAGCAGCACCGAAGCTATACCCTTTGGTCGAACAACGTTTTCCGCTACAGCCGTATATTTGCAGGCCTAGCCTTTTTCCCCTAAAGAACCCTCGATTTATAATACATACCTGCGGTAGTCTCGTTGCTTTCATTAGCGGCGTCAATCCAGCGCGATCCCTCGTGTTCGGTTGAGCTCCGAACGCTAACAACAATTCCATGCATTGCAGGTCCAACGGAGAGACCAGGTTGATCTCCGACCCGAAGAAATATCTTTTATTCGGGTTAGCGCCAGCTTCCAGCAGAATTCTAGCCACCTCGACGTGCCGATTTCTCAGAGCAAGCCGTAGCGGTTCGTCGCACAATGTCGTTCTGCGCACATCGCGGATCGTTCAAATTCTCTCTCTCTCTCTCTTTCTCCCTCGCTCTGTCGCCTCTTGCTGTATCGTTTCCCACGAGAGGTACGAAAATAAATAGTAAGGAGAAAATGCTATCGTTGGCTATCGTTGGCTATCGTTGGCTATCGTTGGCTATCGTTGGCGCGTGCAGCAACATTGAACGTGAACGTGAGAGCGAGAGCGAGAGCGAGAGCGAGAGAGAAGGAAGTGAGATTGTACCTTGGAAAAAGTTCTCCCGTCTCTGGTCGATGGTCGACTTTGGCACCGTGCTCGAGCAAGAACTTCACCAAATCCAAGTAGCCGTGTTCGGCAGCGAGGTGCAACGGCGAATAACCACATTCGTCGGTCGCGTCAATGTCCGCGCCGCGTACCAACAACAACTGGGCCGCCTCCGTATACCGCTGCCACACCGCGTAATGCAACGGCCGCAAGCCCTGTGTCACAGCCTCGTTCGCCTTTGCCCCGCATGCCAGCAGTATTCGGATCTCGTCGAGCGGTTGTAAACGGATTATAGCGTCGGCTAGTTCTCGTTGCAACGGATTGGCGATGCATTCGGAAGGCATCTGCGTGTATAGCAGTACGTACATTGTTGCAACCGGCAAAAAACAGGAGAAACCGTTAACTTTGTCCCCCGTACTCTCCCTCGCACGCTTCCTCCATCCTTCTTTCCCCCCTCTATCCGTTATTCCCCATTAGCACACCCCCGCGAGCGACCTCCTCGCGACGAAACCGTTCAATTGCGGTACGCTCTCGACGTTCGATAGAACAGTCCAGATCTCGTTTCGAACCTCGAAACAATGCCAAGGTGAGGAGATCGAGATCGAGATCGAGATCGAGACGATCGTCACACCTCAGCCTATTTTTCTTACTTGCTTTTGTTTCACTCTCGCAACCTCATCTCGAGACGCAGGCAAACGCATCTTTGACTTTTTCAAAGGGGCGGCGCGGCACGAGATTGCGCGGCATAATATGTACATACTCGCATATGTACTGCGCGGTTCGAGATGCCGCGCCGCGCCACGCCACGCCGTGGCGCGACCACACGACCGCGACGGCTCGAGGGAAAAGAGGAGGACGCGTGTGCGACAGTCTTTTCGAAACGACTCTCGTGTTTCGCAAACACTCCCGATCTTTCGCTATTTTTGCGCGATCGGAATACGCGTTTCCCTCCCACCACCGTCCTACTACCGTTCTTTACTCACGGTGAATACTCTGCGATGTTCCAGCATGTAGAATCCAAGTTGCAAACTGCCTTCTTTGTCGGAAAGTCGGTCCTATTTAAAGCTTCGAACGGTGATTCCACCCGAAAATAACACAAAGGGAACGCGCGGGAGTGTGCGCACCAAATCACCCGCCGCTCGCGACAACTGCGCAATTTTCTCTTCCAACAACTCGCCGCGCGACTCGAGAGTCGAGTGTGTACGTATACCTTTGTGCTCTCCTCCAACCGATCCACACGGATCTCTCTTCGATCTTCGCCGCTTTTATCTTCCCGTTTCGCCCGAAATTTCCCAACGCGCCCCACCGACAATTTTTCCCCCACTCGCTCCCTCCCGCCCTCTCTACCGTCATTCTGCCAAAGCTTGCCCGCCTCCCCTCGAATTTTCGCTCGGGTCGTCTACTTTTGCCAACTGCCCACCGTCCTCCACCTACTACATGCTATACGCACGGAAAAACATCGCGCAGAGTGTACAGTTGTCGTATTTATTTAGGCAAACGAAAAGAGGGAAGTTTCCGCGAACGAAATACGTCCCCCCCATCTATCGAATACAAACTGTCCAATTCCGAAAACATGATGCGTTTCGGTGAAATGGAAACTACGTCTAGTAAACGAACCTGTCCACCTTCCTTTTTACTCGCCGTTCTTCTCTTCCCTCCGTCAAAATCTCTTGTACGCAACCTAATATTTGCATCCGATATTTCGAAAATAATCAAACACACCGTCATTTTTGGAAGTACTTTTATTAAGAAATACTTTGCACTTATTAAATGCCTTATATTCTTAATTCATTTTAATTATAATTATTATTGTTATAGCGTTGTCCTATTTCTACTTAGAAGCATGCTTCGCTAACACACGTTACACGACCCTAAAATTATAAGCAATTTTTTTTTCCTTAACATACAGCTTATGCGTAAATCAAACAACAATACTTAAATTCCACCAAGCCGACAAGTGCAGAGTTTTCAATGGAAATCTTCGCAACCTACGAAAAATTCTGTACACAAGTGCGTATGTGTTGCGCGACTCGAGGAAACTTGCAATATATTTTATTATTGTTGCTGTGATTGCGTTCTTCATTACCGAATAATAGATATTTGCGCGCGCGCAACGATATCGATCGTGCCCCCCCCTCTCTCTCTCTCTCTCTCTCACTCTCTCTCTCTCGCTCTCTCGGAATAACCGATTGATCATAAATTTCCTGTGGAAATGAGATCGGTAATCGTGCCATCATCCAAACCTCTCGTCCCTCACAAGGGCCGCGACAAAAACATTCAAACAAGGAAGAAAACGAAATACTCTTCTTTCTCCTCTTTTTCTTATTCCACTGTCGGTCGATTCTCTCATGATGCGAGTCCGAGCGACAAGCGCAACACACTTTCGCGATAAAACACGGCGTCGAACTGAACAGCGTATATGGCTTCGCACGACGTATCATGTACCTATATTTCCCGCTAACCGCTAATTTATCCATCTATCTGCGACGCGTACAGGCGTCTCGATCGTGCGTGCACTCCGTATCGCACCGAACGACAGATACGGTCTCCATCTCCTTCGACCGGGAACAAGGGGCGCGCGCGCGACTTCCAGGCGGCTCTTCTACTTGTTCCCGGGCGAACAACCTTCACGCGACAGTTCGTTCGATGCGATATTACAATGTCCACTGTCCACATATACACGTTACGCTTTCTTAACGGGCACGCTAAATTTCTTACTCTTAAGGAACCTACGTTTAGAAAATTGGACTTTTTATAGGCTTGTGTTTTCTTCGAAAAATATCTATAGAACGTGTTCTTCACGATTGTAATTCGAGCAAGGAACCGATCGATCGGTCTGTTGTATCTTCGAGGGACGGGAAGATCGCTGACCAACAGCCTCACCAATTCCAATCATTTTCCCGTAGAGTCATTTCCACACTTTGTCTCAATCCTCAACATTTTCCATTACCTCTCCTCCTCCCTCTTTCTCTCCCATTCGCACACTCTCGCACACCAACGCGCACCCACTTCTTCTTCTTCTTCTTCTTCTTCTTGTTCTTCGTTAGCTCATTCCTTCTCCTTACTCCACACACACACCATTCGTCATCGGGAAAGAGATAACAAACTATTTCCATTTCATCCTGTTTCTAATAGGAATTTCAAAGAAAAATATCAAATCGGTCGTGCAAAAGGTATTTGAAAAACGAAAAATGCTTGTGCGGCTACAGAATGTAAAGGGGGATGGATCGTCATCACCAACGTAAAGACCGATCGATCGCATTCTCTGCTATTCGCAGGACAGTGATCTCGGTAACTGTGAAATCAAATCTTAATACAGCAAATCGATTCATCGTCGTAATAAGTATAATCGCAAATTCTATCTACAAATAATAATACCGCCATAAAAGTGTATTTCGAAGCAATAACCTAATTAAATATAATGTAACGTAAACTGCCTCAAAGTGGCTACGATCTACGTATCTCCTAAGAAAACGGTTATAATAATAATAGTCGTCAAGTATCGTCCACGCTTCTTTGATTGTTGTTTAGTTACATATTTTAAGGGCATTATAATACACGTGAGTATGACACGGTTTTCCACTAAAAATATTTGTTAGATACGCTGAGCATTACTGACTTAAGCACTGTACTAAATTCACGTAAAATGTATCGTTATTATTAGAAAACTAATTATTCTTCATTGGTTTGAAATACTGGTTTTTAATAGATCTGTATAAAACCTTTGTCAACTGGAACTCTTGGAACGATGATTCGCGCGATACGAAATCTTAAGCGACGATGCTCTATACTACGTGTACCATGATAAAAAATTACCTCGTTATCCCGTCACCCGGCCTTCCAACAGCATC